CCCCCTTCAGTCTACAGGAAGGCCTGACCCAGCTGCACAGGAGCGAGAAAAACTCCTCACGACTCTGCAGGAGGAAGCCTCCATTGCCAAAGACAAAGTGAAACAGCTCAGTCAGGTTCAGATAGCCGTCTTCTCCCTCATCAGTCCTGCCACAATAGAGCTATTTTCATCGAAGCTGTGGTGTTCTGGAACGATTCAGCGTTTGTCCGCCAAGTGCCTCACACGCCCTCTTGCTTTTGTGCTGTAGGAGCTTCAGGTTGAGAAGCAAAAAAACGGGCGTGCAGAGGCTCTGATGAGAGAGCAGCGTTCAGCCATGGAGAAGGAGCTGGGTGGCATGCAGGCCAAAGCACAGGGCAGCTACCAAGAGATCCAGACAATGCAAATAAAGGTGAGATTCCTCATTGAAACGGTGGGAGCAGTCGCGCTGAATCAGTGTTTCTAATTCTAGTTGTGAGTGAAGCATCTGAACTCGCTGCTGATTGCGGTCTGTGTGTAGTTTCAGCAGGTGAGGGAGCAGCTGGAGAGCCAGATCACTCGTCTGCAGCAGGAGAACAGCATCCTCAGGGACGCAGTCAGCTCAGCCACCAGCCAGATGGAGAACAAGTCAGTGAGCTCCATACGTCCCTCCTACTTATCTTAATAAAGGGCTCATGTCATCTTTTCAGTGTTTTTAGCTTCATCAGATGTATTCTTTTTAATGTCAGAAAAACATTGGTGAAAACTCCTTTAGTTGCTATCAGCTCTTCTCATCTCCTAACATGGAAAGTCTTATACAAGTAAAAGTTTCTTTACACAGTGAGAATGTGTTCTGTGTAGGCCATTAGTAACTTGCTTCCTCAACAACTTCCTTAAATAACACCCCATTACTAATTATCATCTGGTGTGCCTGGTAGGAATTCAGCAGAGCTGAACAAGCTCCGTTCTGAATATGCCGGTCTGATGAAAGAACTGGCTGACTCCAACGGCAAGCTGCAGCAGGACGAGCTCCAAAGGAAGTCACTGGAGGTCAGCTACAAGCAGAACGTGTCCCAGCTGGAGGTACGCTACTCCAGATGCACAATGTGTGTGTTTTTTTTTTTTTGTTTTTTTTTTGTTTTTTTAAATCTACGCTTCAGTGACCCAGCAGAGGAAAATGAGCCGAGCCGTGGAAGACCTGGGCTTACTGCAGAGCTCTAAGTCTGGCCAATGGGTGTGGCAGCATTACACGGGAAGCGGGTGGGCTATGTAGTGGACGTCCCAGGAAGGGTTGTGGGAAACAGAACCTGAGATGGGAGGGTCTGTTAGTTCTAGAGGCTGGAATGTTTGAGGCTTTGTGTTGCGGATAAACAACCCTTTTCCTGCTCGACACTCAGATCTGCCCTGCTTGACATTTTAAGCATAGCAAATGTAAGATGGAAATCTAGTTTTCTGGCTAGGCGCAGACAAGGCTTCACAAATAAAGGAATAGATTAAAAATACATCAGTCTGTGGGGTGATATCTGAGCTTACAATTCATTTAGAGAGAGATGGAAAATGGAGATACAAGTCAACATTTTCTCTCAATGCTGAATCTTTGTACATAGTGTTTTGCTTTTGTAATGTTTGGGAGGCTTACTTGAGCTTTCATCACACCCCAGGCCCAGCTGCAGGATGCCAAGCGGCGTTGGGAAGAATTGCAGAACTTCTACCACAACGTCAACGCTGAACGGGAGAAACTTCTGGGCTCCAAACAAGGCAAGGGGACTGGGAACTGTTCTTAATCGTCCTTAAAGTAATAGCGTTTTGATAAAACTCTGATAAAACTCAGCCAAACGAGTGTCTGCATGTGCCTGCAGAGCTCCACAGCCAGCTGCAGGCGGTTGAGACGGAGATGAACAACAAGAACAAGGAGATCCAGACCCTTCACAGCAGCCTGACCGAGGCCATGGTCTCCAAGGAGCGTCTGGAGCAGAGGGTGATGGAGCTGATGGAGATGTCCCAGCACAGCATGCCGGACGAGTCGCTCCAAGCCCGGGTTCAGGTGAGACCTCACGCAGAACCGGACCCGACTGATGTTTATCGGTCACTTCTCTCGGAGCATTCTTCCGAAGTTTACTTGGAGATGTAAAGTGATTTACTAACGCGATCTGTTTTAAAAGGAGCTCAAGAATGAAAACGGCGCTCTTCAAGTCCAGAATGAGAACCTACAGGCCCAGATTTCAACACAGGTTCGAGTCGCCCTCACCCATCTGTGAATAAAGGTGATATTCATACATGAATGTCTGTGATGAGATTTCTCTGTCTCAACTTTAGGCCGCCCATGTCTCCCACATTGAGGAGCTACAAAAGCTGTAAGCAGAGCTTTGAATCTTTTCAGACTTTTCGATCGGCATTGAAATTCTTTGGTGACTGTTTGTTTGTTTTTTCTGTTTTGTGCAGTCTGGCTGATAAGGAGTTACAGCGGAAGAGTTTGGAAGATTCTTTGAACGCTGAGCGGAGCAGCGGGGCTAGCAGAGAAACTAACATGCAGGTATGTGTCAGGCGGGCCTCGTCCTCGGCCGCTTGTGCTAACATGTCTTCGGCTCATTAGTCTGCAGGAATGTTTCTGGTCAAGGGGCATTTAGATTTCCACCGTATGTACACCTCCATGGCAGAAAGTGTCAGTGCCCAAATTCAAATGTTCCAAATTCAAATGTTCCAAGCTTAATGTCTTGGCTTTGGAAAGCCAGGACGAAGCTCTGAAAAGATTGTGCCATCCTTCAGCGCTGCCGTTTCTTTGCATTCTAAACGTTGGTGACCTTCTCATCCGCAGGCTTTGCACAATGACAACATGTCGCTGAAAGCAGAGATTCAGAATCTGCAGGCACAGATTTCTGATCAGGTCAGATGATTTCTATGTGTGCAAAATGCCTCCAAAAAGCTGCATGTTTTTCCCCCGTTTGAAATGCTGTCTTTGGCTTTTTTGCAGACTGCATCCCAGCTGGCTTTGGACCAGTACCAGAAGAGGTGGGTTTGGGAACTAGAATCTTTTGTGGTTAAATGTTGTTTTCCTCTATCCACGACTATGCCATAGTTAACAAAGACATTACCTGATCAAATATGTCCCGCCAGTGTTCGGGAGAAGGAGGAGAACATGAAAACTGTAGAAATCCTGCTGGAAAAGGGCCTGATCGAGGTGGCCAACAAAGAGGAACAACTGAAGGTGAAGTCGCTGTCTGTTTTCACCACAATGTTAAATTGAGAAATATGTTTCAGCAGCTTTTTTTTCTCCCTCATGCAGGTTTTAAGAGACGAGAATGAGGCACTGAGGCAAGAAATGGAAGAGCTGATGAGAAAGGCAGAAGAACAGGTGAATTTCAAAATTTCTAGAAAAAAACTTTCTTGTTCTCTTCACATCAAACTCTGTCTTAATGTGTTTAACTTTTTTTCCCCCCATCAAAGGTGTTATCACATTCGAACGTGGAAGAACTCCATAGCACGTAAGATCCGTTAAACTGATTCCGATATCTATGGATTGTGTTGATTAATTAGAGCAAAGGCTCATCTGCATCATTATCTGTAGAGAAAAAGGAGCCCAAGCAAAAGTCTTTTTTTTCATTTAGTTTTTTGTTCTTTTGTTTTTTTCAAATTTGTCCTTTTTGTTAGATTGTTGCTTTAGTGTTTGCTTGTTTTTATTATACACATCACACATTTCTAATGTGGAGACCAGTAACTGAAAGGGCTGGTTGGGTTCCGGGAGGAGGAGAGCGATGTGATGGAAGCTTCTTCTGAACAGAGGTGTGCAGATAGACTGTCGTTATTTGAAAAAGGGAAAACAAGTCCAGGTAGCCATTTGTATAAATGAGTTACATCAGTACGGACAGCTGAAATGGCATCTGAACAGTCCCACGCAGTAAGTCAGATACACAAAGGAAAGAAAAAGAACACAGATTATGAATAGTCTTCTTTCTGACTGGTGGAAGCACAGCTGCTCCCTTCCAGCCATCGGTATGTCTCAAACAACTGCAGCACACTGGTTGGACTTGTTCGGGCTGCCTGATGTGTTTTAAGTAAACTGAACAGAGTTTTTTTTTGTTTTTTTTGTAAAGAAATGTCTGTCTATATAGAATAGATGCATAATAGAAAATAATTTTTTATCCCCTTTAATTTGCCACCAGGATAAAATGTAGTATTTTCTATTCTACTCTATAAAAGCAGAAACTGTTGTGTTATCACATGTCAGAAACTGCATGAAGTGCAAAGATCTTTGAGGAACTCTTTGGAAGTCAGTTTCAGCTCCACCCCTATATGCAGCATAGATTAAAGAATAGCTGATGGAAGTTATAATTGCATGTTATGCGAAGCTGAGGCTATTACTTATGGCTTGACCTTAAGTAAATCAGACTACTTCCTTATGGCTCTCTTGGATCCTCCTGGGACACACCCCACATAGGAATTCACATAGGTTTCCACTGCTGTTTGCATGTTGTCGATTATTAAATCTCTGCTGCTGTTACAAAGGTTTGGCGTCTCTCCAGAATGCTCCAGTTAACAGTGTTTTTGTTTCACTGCTGCGCAGCATCCAAGAAAGGGATCTGAAGCTTAAGTTGTTGGAGGAGAGTCTGCAGGCGGCACAGGACAGCAGCTCGGCCAAAGAGAAGGCTGTTGAGGTGGGGAGCTTTCTTCCATATCAGTGAAACAATCGGCGGGTTGAGCAGAAGGCATTTGTGAAATTCTCCTTGCTCGAGTTGGTGTCTGAATCACTATTTGCCTGGCAGGCTCTGGAGCAGCAGCTGGCTGCCCTGCAGGCAGAGCTGGAGCAGTTGAGACAAAAGGAGACGCCAGAGGAGGTGACTAGTTTGGGTACCCACCTCCAGGAGCTCCAGGCTCAGTAAGTCAACCCCACACACACGCACACACAAAAGTGCAACTCTTGCGCACCTCTTTTTCAAATCAGAGTCTTGATGAGCCAATCTGAACCTCAGGCTGGAGGCAAAGGACCAGAAAGTTCAGATGCTTGAGACGGAGCTGGAGGCAAGGACGAGGGAACTGAGTGAGAAAGTGGAGCAGCTTCAACAACAGGTGAGAAAAGAATGTGAAGAAACTCACGACATAGTAGAGACTCAAGAGATATTTAAGCTCCTTACTGAGCTAAAGTTTTCTCTGACAAACAACATAACTCTCATTCCATCCTCTTCTTTGTTTTTTCTCCTGCTTAAATAGCAGTCCCAGACAGGAGTGCCAAGCCCAGAGCTCCTGCAAGCGTAAGTGAATTTATGGCCCCCCACCCACGTTTGATGTTTGGCTTTTGATTCAGCCGTTCATAAGTGACATCATGATCGAGCGGCTGTTTCCGTCATCCTCCAGGTTGTCGGAGAAGGAGAGGCAGCTCGGCAGCCTTCAGGCTGAGCTGGCCGAAATGAGGGACTTGGTGGAGCTTCACAAGAAAAAGAACAACGTAGGTTCCTCACAGCAACAACCTGAACTGAAGGAGTGCCTCTGAGGAATGGCACTCTGTCCTCTGTGTGCCACCACAAACCTTCCCCATCGGCACAGGCCTGCACGCTGCACACGTATCCCTACTCCCTGCTGTCCCCTTTTATTGTTTTTTCTTTTTTTGTGGAAAAATTATAAGCTATCTACCAAAAGATTGTGTTTGCAGCATAATTATACACAACAACACAGTGTGTGTTTTGATTTGTGTTACTTAAACTGAGCGTTGCATAAGAGGGCTTCCAGCCTACTCCTGTTGTGTTCGCCGTTGTTCATTGCTGTTTCAGCAGGCTTGTTTGTGCTTGTGGATGATTCAGAGCTTTAGAAAGGCATGTTTGATTTTGGGAAGCAGCATATTATTATCATTATTATTATTATTGTTATATTTTTTTCTCATTTTTAGATTCTAGCCATTTCAGTGGAAACCTTTTTTTACTTGACATATCGTGGTCATTGTTTTTAACCCAGGTGATGTGGCATTGGGACTAAAGGCCTTTTATTTATTTAAAAAACCTTCTTTCTATTTTTTCTTTTGAGCCGTTGAAGCACGGGCTAAACAGTTTTTTGTTTTGTTTTGTTTTTTATTATGAGAAATGGGATTGTTCTGTCACTCTGTCAGGTTGCAATTGAGGGTCACTAAATGCATTTTTCCCCGAGGCTAACTGAAAGTAGTATCTCTCTGGAACTGACCAAAACAGGAGCTTCGGGAGAAAAACTGGTGCGCAATGGAAGCTCTGTCAGCCACCGAGTCCATGCTTCAAGGGAAACTCAGCAAAGCTGTCAAGGTTCGGCACCTCACCTCAGTCTGCTTCACTCTAGTTCCAATCTGACGCACCCCCCTCCAAAATGCTGTGTATTGCCATGATTGACCCAGTGAATTTTTTCTTTTTTTTTTCTCCGCCATCATCCATAACAACGCTGCATACTCATTTACCCTTTGCCACTTTTCTGCCTTTGGCCTCAAGATTTTTAATTGGCTTTGTATTGAGTTTGTTGAGCTACACTACTCCGTTTAGGCTCCGCAGATCCGAAAAAAACTTTGATTTCTTTGTGAGCAGACTTTTTTATTCTTCTTTTATTTTTTGTTTTTTTCCCTCATCCGCAAGCTTTGTTATGCCAAAGATTTGCCTGGAGCTCAGGCTGATGCTCGGAAATGAGTTTGCAGTGACTTAGTCGATTCCTAGATGTCATTAGACTGAGATTCATGGATATAATTTCTCAGCTTCCCGTCTCTCTCTTTGTGGCATGGCATGTTTCCCCCCCATTCACCTCTGCGTCACCTCCCTGTCAACGTAACTAATCAATGGAAATCTTTTTGTGTTTTCAAAAAAAAAAAAGGAAAGGTGTATTTATTTTTTTTATTTCCTTTTGATATATAACTGTCCTTTAATCTCACTCAATGACCTGTTCACACAACTAAAGCATTTTTTTTTTTTTTTGTATGACGAGCTTATAGCTAAAATATGCTTAACAGTTGAAGTTCTTGCTGGTCTCTCCTTATGTAGTCATGGAGTTAGCGACTAGATTGCTGTTCTATTAGCGGTAAGGTTGAGGTGTGTGTATTTTTGCCGTCCTCGCCCTTCATCAGGGAAGCGCACACGCTGAACCGTCAGCAGAGCAGCTGCTCCTCTGCCACTTGAGTCCGGCAGAATCACCTTCTCAGAGGGGGGACCGGGGAGCTCCCGCGCAGCTGCTGCGTACCGTCAGTGCTGGCCGGTTGTGTTCCGCCTCGACCCTGCCTCAGAGGCTGCGTGCTGACAGTGTGTTAATGCGGGCGGAGCTCAGCTGCTGCTGCTTCTCAGGGGGACGGTGCAGGGTGATGCTGCTCTGCTGTGGCAGGTCTGACAGCCACCTCATTATAAAAGAGCTCCACCGTACTTTTTAGAATGTCATGAAAGCAGATCCATGTATTGGCGGTTTCAGGGGGACTAGAACACCTTAGGTGTCTGAGGTTGCTGGTTACATTTGTGTTATATTTGTGAGCTGGGTTGAGAGACACCCATGTCACAGTGTTTGGTCTCAACACACTGATGGTATAATGCAAGATGATGGCAAATGAATCCTTTGTGATTGAAGAGGCGGGATCACTGAGCTGATTACCGGATAAAATAACGATGAGGGTATAAGAATAATGCAAGCACAGCGAGCTTTCATTAGTCCTCCCTCTCTTTTCTTCTCTTCTCTACTTGTAGGAGAACCAGGAAGCACTGGCACTGTCTCAGACGGAGTGTCGAGATGTCCTGCACAGACTTCTTCCCCATGTGCCTTTGCCCTCTGAACAGGTATAGATCACGTTGGCCTAAGGCCTCCTAGACTGTTTGTGTTTGCGTCCCGTTTACGTTTGACTTCCTTTTCATCACCATTGTTCCACAGAACCATCAGGAGTGGCTCCAAAGATTCGAAAGGGCAGTCGCTGAAAGTTCAGCTGCACAGTCCAGCCAAGCATCAGGGGACTCTGAGGTAAACACACAGTGTGAAGCTAAACCTCATATCTTTATATTTCTCTATTCATAGTGTTTATAAGTAGGTAATAAATAATGTTCTTCCGATAGGTCCTGGCGGAGAAACTTAAGGAGGCTGAAGAAAGCCAAAGGATTCTGCAGAAAGACTGTGAGACGTATAAGAAGGTTTTGGCCGAAACGGTGAGATGGGGGTTTTTCTTTTACTTCCAGTCATGGTCAAATGGTGGTCTCTTCTCCAAACTGAGCCATCGTTCCTGCTGTGACCACAGGAGGGCATCCTGCAGCGCCTCCAGAGCAGCGTGGAGCAGGAAGAGTCTCGCTGGAGGGTGAAGCTGGAGGCATCGCAGGCAGAGCTCAGGGAGGTGTGTATCCCTGTTCTGCAGGAATCATCCCCCTCCCCAGGATCAACGCGAGACCCCTACGGTTGAATCTGATTACACTCGGCCTTCTTTTCATTGCATCATTCTTGTTTCCAACCCTAGATGAGTCAGAAAGTCGCAGTTTTGGAGCAAGAGATTGAGAGACTAACCGACGGAGCCGAGCTGGAGAATGTCAGTCCACCCTTCAAACCTAGACACCGACATGTGCGTGTGTGTTTTTGTATTTTTAAACCTGTTTATTTCCTCTCTATTTCTGCTCCATTGTCGTGCCGTGTAGCTGAGAAGAGAAAAGCAGCATCTGGAGTCCGACTTGGAGAGGGCAGAGCGTGAGAGCGCCACCTATGTGATCGAAGTCAGAGAGGTGAGCAGAAACTTCGGGGGGAAACCCTCTTCCCCTGAAGTTCTCCAACATCCTGTTCAAAAAGCATGAGCTCAGGAGTGTTTTACTGAAATCTTCATCCCAGGGTTGTGTTGCTTTTTTCGTGTTAGGGTCTACATTCAAATCCATTACACATGCACTTTTAGACTTAGAACTCCGCTCATTTAGCCGTTTGCAGCAGGATCCAGTGCTGGGTGTGTCATTACGCAGCTCTGCTAAAGAACAAAACTGTCGCCTTGTGTAATGTCACTGTCAGTTCCCACAGGACTGCCATTAAACGATGTATCTCAACCTTAATTTCAGCTCAAAGATCTGTTGACTGAGCTGCAGAACAGGCTTGATGGCTCATATACAGAGGCTATCAGGCAGAACGAGGAGCTGAGTGTGGTAAGCGTGGACCCCCCCCGGCTAGAGCTCCAGACCCCACACTCTGTCCTTCTCTGCACCGAGCAGTGGCTCCACACTCTGTTCAGAATGAGCAGGACCGGGGGTCATCAGTCACAATGTCTGCACACTCATACTCACAATGTGGAACCATTCAACTGGATAAGTTGAACACAAAACAAATCCGATTGTGAACGATGACCTCATCGGTTAAACTGACGCTTACTAGACTAACTCTTCTTTTTCTGCATCTTCCTTTGACTTTTACCAACATTTTCACACGGCTCTCTCTGCAGAGGCTGAACATGAGACTCATGCTATGCTTCACCAGTAACCATCTCCTGCCTCTGTCCTCAGACTAGCCTAGCCTGCCGGTTTCCTCTTAGGCTGTGTCTTTTGTGGATGATGGAGATTTTTCAGTAGATATCTCTCGATGTCTGTAGTTCTGGTTGGCTTTTTATTTCTTGCTTCTGGCCGTGTTCAAACCCATAGTAGCACCATCAGAAAACGGACTCCTTTGTGTGTTTATTATGGACATAAGAGGCAGGTTTCTCAGTTTATGATGCAATTCACAAGTTTATCAGGAAGAAATGACAGCGTCATATAACTTTCCAGAGTTGTAACATCTGATTTTAAAGTCCAGTGGACCAGTGTGTAATGTTATGGTATCTGATAAGTCATAAGACTGAATGTATTACTCAGAGCGGACTTCCTGGGTTACAATTCATCATCTGTTGCAACAGTCCACTTGTGGTGTTGTGCTACTCTGGGTTTGAACATGGCCTTAATAGGTAAGACGAGTGTTGGACTTCTTGAGTTGAGCAACGTAGGCGGAAGAGTTTTGGATCCTCTTGAATGTGTTGAGAAACTGTCGTCGTCCGGAAGTTACCTCATGCTGAATTTCTGTTTTGGTTACAGCTGAAAACCCGACTCACTGACACGCTGACCAAGTTGGAGGAAGAGCAGAACGAGAGGCAAAAAGTGGCCGGCGACCTGTACAAGGTGACGACCCGGCTTTGTTTTTGACAGCACCCACTGATAGAGATGACACGTTGCTAACTGGAGGAGGTCTCTGATCCTTCTCAGGCCCAGCAGTCTCTGGAGCTGATCCAGGGTGAGCTCTCCAAACTAACCGACAATACCGACGACCTGATAGAGAACAGCAGCCTGTCGTCACAGGGAGTAAGTGTCCACTCGTTTTTTTTTTTTTGGAGCGCTAAAAGGTGGGAGCGTGTTGTGCTTTTATATCAGCTGCCGTGTCGTCTGGCAGGAGGAGATTGATCGGAAGGAGAAGATGACTGCAGGACTGAATCAGACAGTCAGAGAAATGCAGCAGCTGCTCCAAGCTGTCAGCCAGCAGCTAGCTAAGGGGCAGGATGGGGTAAGTTCATGTTGGGTTGCAAGAGCGGATGTTTTTTATGCTGCGTAGTGGTGTGCATTCTGAGCATCTGTGCTTTCCTACAGGAGGCTGACAAAGATCTTCCCAAGGTATAGGGAGAGGAGGACAGAGCACCCTGCAGCCGCCCTGACTGCGCTACAGAGACCGTGTTTGACCTTTAGTCTCGTCACTACTACACAATACCACATTGTAACACCCAGCCACCTCCTCCCTTTCAACCTCCGTCACTCCACCTGTACTGTAGGCGGCCTCCCGCTGACCCTGAGGTGCCGATAGCCCGCTCCTAGAGTCACTGCTGGCCACTATGGGAGCAGGCAGAGGTTCCTGTTCAATTCCAAGCACTCCAGGCATGGTACCAAAACACAGACTACTCCACTCCAGCCACATTCCTCTTCTTTGCAGCATCACCAGTTTCATTCTAAACTTTAAAATGACCTCCAACATCATTTAAACTGTGTTGCAGCCATTCCTCTGTTTTTAAAACGCCTGTATTTTTCCAATGAAATCCTTTTGCAGTAGTTTTATTTGTCTCCAGGGCAGAGATACAAATTTCCAACTTAACAAACTTTTGAGTTTTCAGTACTTTTACTTCTTAACTTAAAATTCTATATTGTTTAAATGTACCAGTTAGGACCTGCTGAAATACACTATGTTGTTGATCTGTTGATTTGTCTCCTAACCGGAGTTTTACCGCAAACTGTACATCATTGTGCATCCATTGCTCCATGCATACCTTGACTCAGTACTGGGTGGGAGAAGGGAGAGTAGAAGAGGTCTCGGCATGTCAGACGTGTCACTACGTGACTGTAACTACGGAGACGCATGGACAAATTGTAGTCACATCTGTAATGCAGCTCCAAAAAGAAGGGAGTCTGTGACCCTGGCTGTGCAGGGAGAACGCCGGGTCAACACTTTAGAGGTTTTTAATTCTACCGCAACTATTCTAGGAGTAAGCGTCCCATTTCATCTGTAATCAACACTTGCTATCTTGTTGCTAAGTTCATTAACACTGAAGATTTTGTTCTTTTTGTAACGGGTGATGTTAATAAAAGGGATGCTTAATTAAAATGTGGAGTGGCCTGTGTTGTTTCTACCCTGCTGTCATTTGTCTCTGGGCCACACGGGGGCAGCACACAATTTGAATAGATATGTCTACAGCTATGTTTTGTATTTCAAATTATGGACAGGGAAATTATAAAGTGTCTCTTCATATATGTTTAGCCAGCAGATAATTGGAAATGTGTCATGTGCCTTCACCTTTGCAAGAATGTGAGGATGCAATGTAGCCTCGATTGTGGAACGTTTGGGTGTGATCGGTTTCCTGTGACTAGGAACATACTTTATTATGACCATAGTAACACACGTTTTAGACATTATCTTCCACTGGAATGGAGATGAGAACAGAAATGACACCAACTTAAACTATCCAGAGCTGAAAACTCTTGTGTTGGTTGTAATAATGGAAATAAGTTAAATATGTCATTCAACACTTGAGTAAAATAATTTCAAAAGTTTACTTTAAGTCTGAAAAGTGCATGCACACAATGGCAACGATGAACAGTAGTGCTTTGTGTCTAATCAAGAGTCTGAATAGAAGTTGTATTGAACGGGGTCCGAGTCGACGCTGATTTCATTTGCACAGAAAGCTGTTGCTCTCCTGCATGTTAAAAGACCTTTAAGACAACAGGACTGTTGTGCGGGCTGAGAGGGTGGGGTTGTGGGGTCGGGAGCAAGAGCAACATGGAATCAGCACATTCCTCACATTCTCCCACACTGTCATGCTACAGTCAGCTGATTGGAGATCTTGACTTATCTTCATAGAAAGCTGGCACAATGTGCTGCACAGTGTCTTCGACGTGTCATTTAACCTGATCGCAGGCCGCTTTTCCCAGTTCACTAAACAACGTGAGCGCAGGGTGCTGTAAAGTTGCTGCCTTTTCATGTCAGCTCCCATGTTCTGATTAAAAATGCGCTTGATTATATGACGAGCATATAAACAACTATGGCGGGAAATGTTTTGGGATTATTTCTGGGAAAACTTTGTTTGTAATCTTTTGTGAGGAAATGACAGATTTCCAAACGTGGGAGAATCCGGTCAGAAAAAAATAAACTGTCTCAGTTTAGACTTCTCAGATATGGTGCTTGATAAATACCAGTTGGGAAGTTAAAGTTGGTTTATCCAGTCCCCTGTCATCAGCGCTCACAGTAGCTAAGTTGTGCAATTGAACTTGTTTCATAGGCTTCCACTCTGCATGCTTTTTGCCTGGTAACACTTGACTCCTCCTCCTAAACATAGATTTGCACTTGCACGACGCCAGGACAACTTCAGCAAAGCAACCCACTCCCTGCATCTGCTCTCCATCAGCGTGGTATGTGCTGGAGAGCCTTTAATTCCCACCCACCCCCAACTCTACGCTGACTGTTTGTGTGTGTGAGTCAGACAGATGTAGAAAAAAAAAAAAAAAAAGAAACCCATAGAGCTCTTTCACTCAGACAATGCCCCATAGATAAAAGCAAAGCGGAGAGAAACTGTGGCACAATAGAGCAGTAAACCTTTCTTCTACCCTAAATATTAAGGGCAGCCCAGAGCCCTGTAGTTATTGGCCTAATGTTGCTTGGTGCTGGTGCATGACTGCTCAAGAAGCCGGGGTTCACTCATTTGCGCTATTAATGGAAAAGCATTTTGCGGCTATGAACAGAACATACAGACGCCAAATAGCTAAGTTCTATTTCTTACATGCTGAGAAAATACCAGTGTTCCCTTTTACTGTACTGATTAGTTTTAAGAACGAGGGTGGAGATGGAAGTATCTCCCCCTGGACCTCAGTGACCCCTGTCTACCTTTTGTTTTTGCGTCAAGTGTTATTGCACTTTGAAACTGAACACCAGTTCAAACAGAAGGCTATAATTACAGAGTCAACAGGGCCACTGGAGGGGCCTGAGGCAGCGGGAGCACCTCCAGCCCTGCTGGTTCTTGTGAAAACAAGACCGAGGCCATAAAGTGTTGATGAGACTGGCGAAACAAAAGTGGAGAAGTGGCACATTCATCAGAAAGGTGTGAGAGCCATTGGACGCGTAGGATGTTGGGAGGGACAACCAGGGACGATTCCTGTCCTGGGATAAGATGTAGTCACATGAGTCAGTCTCAGAAGATGAAATAAAGCAAAGTACAAAACCCCCTCTGTGATCAAATTAACTTTAGTCTCATTGCATGACCATACAAGCTGAGACTGATAAGAAGTTACAGAGTGAGCTCTAAATACATGAGTAAACCTGTTTCCAGAAAAGCGGTGAACAGAAAATCAAAGGATCAAAGCAGATGAATATTGATGGCATACGATTGCATAATCAATCACATGAATTTGTAAACTACAAGGGCTAATCAAATAAAGCTTCTAAAGAGCTTAGAGGAGTCACGAAAAAACAAATCTGAGTTTCCCACCGTTCACTCAGACAGGAGAAGTACCAGGATTATGTTTCACAATGTACTTTTTTTCTAGTATTACTGTCCTCTCAACAGTGAGGTGCTACAGATAGGCGTATCATTTATCAACAAGCTCGAGACATTGTTTCCGAGACGGCCGTGAATCATATGATCAAGGACAAAATGAAATACAAACCCTTATTCAAATTTGGCAAAATGAGGAAATTGGAAATAAATCAGAACAAGTATTATCGCTTTAAGAATCCCCAGATTGTACTCTTTGTTTACATAACAGAAGCTTCGATTCATAACCATTTCGAGGTGGTGTAACAGTACAAGTGCTCCACGTATACTTTTACAACTTGGTCCCTCAGAAATACCTTAAGCGTGAACAATTATTAATTAGCCATTTAGAAACCTTATGCCACAACATATAGCAAGGTTTGACCAGACAAATAGTATCAGAGCAGAGTTTGTTGGAAACCCCCCCTCCACAAAGTAAAGAACAAGTGAATGGTACGTTCCGGCCCTGCTGCTCGCTGTTTTTGTATCTGCTTTAGAGCTGATAGAACCGCCAAGTAAGTTACGTTTCGCAATGTCACGCTAAGGAAGTTTGAAAACAGTTTGTTCAAACGAAAACTGGATCGATTTGAATGCCGACACACATGCTGTTATTTTACGAACCGAGAGTGCGTCGTTTGTTTTTTAAGAGTGTCGTGGTGATTTGTGAGCCACTGTTATTACTGTATAGCTAACGTAAGCCAGCGAAGCCTCATGTTTTCGTCAAGCCAAGAGGAGCACTGCGCCCCGTCCAAAGACCCAGTCAAATACGGCGAGCTGGTGGTACTGGGGTAAGTCAAGTCCTGGCAATGGCTATTCTATCGTACTTCATTCCTCAATCTTTTGGGACTGACGAGAAAGCGACGGTCTACCATAAAAGTTCCCCAACAGGGTAGTCATTAGCCAACTTAGCTACGTGACGGCGAGTCTTTGAAAACTGTAGATCAGCAATTATTTCTTTATGCGTAGAACGATTTAAACTTAAGCCACATTTCACACAGTCATGGGAGCCTTCAGTTTTAAGAAATTTACGAGCTCACGTTACTCCACAGAGCAGACACGTGCGCAGAAAGAATTGTGTACATGGTGTTTTTTTACAGAGTTGGTGTCGATGTTTTTGCTCCGTCATTAAAAATAAAGAGTCCGCGTAGCTCAGCGTCGTTCACAGACGTTCAGGGCAACGTTTCGGGACCCGCACGGACAAATCTCACGCTCAGCCCCTCTAACCGGAGCACTCCTCCCGGCCTTGAAGTTGGATTCATGGGGTTTCAGGAATTCGGAAGTCGTGATGGTCCCCACCCCCCAGGCCCGGGCTCCTTCCTTTTTTCTGCGAGCACGAGCTCAGAGCGCGCGGACCCCCCCGGCTGTGCCCTGGTCTACTTTTCACTCTTACTTTTAACTCCTCCAAAATACTCTACGTTCCTATCCAAATTCAGAACTTGGTCGGTTTACAGCCTAAATACTGTAACCGGTGTCAGATGAAGAATCAATAAAAATAAAGTCCTGCTGTATTTATAACTTTCCATCTTCACGTGTAAAATGAAAAGTAGTTCAAGGCTTGAATAAAACACGTATTATTTAATAATTACACAATGAAACCACAGTCAACTGTCTGTTTCACTGGCCAGATTCCCCAGGATAAGTCAGCGGGAAATGTCCAAAGCAGTAGGTCTGAAAGTTGGGCCAGATCCTTATGCATGGGGTCTCCTTACAATCATCACAGCTCTCCCTTTTACTCTAACCACATACAGAACTGATAATACTCAGACTTCATTATGAGCAAAATGATCTTACAGTGAAACATTTTATCAAAAGTAACCAAAAAAAGAATATGTTTGGCATTGCTATTTTCAAATTGATGTGTTGACAGATTTTCACAAAAGAATGGGGGGACAAAAACACAGAAAAAGCTTATCAACTATATATATTTATAGTGTTTATTAATATTGTGTGAGAGTATATGTATTTCCCATGTCTTGGACACCTTGGAAAAGAGTGGTAACACCTCTGATGTAGAAGCTGTTGCACATTTCGGTGACGTGCCATGTTTACATTACCTCTCATCATTCCATTTATTGTTGTAAAAAAGTCTTAGTTTTTTGTTTTGTTTACAGCATATTTTTAGACAAAACAATATATAAAGATTTACAATAAAAAACAAATCGATAAATACCTTTATGGTCTCCAGAAAGCCGTACCGGCACGTTTTCCTGTCTTTTTCAACCAATTTTTTAAAAAGTGCCCGATTCACAAGGATGCTAGAAACAAGAGAGGAAAAGGTTGACAAACCCTGGGAAGTTTTGGTCGACCGGGGAGAGTGTAAGCCTTACTCAGCTTGAGTTGGATTGTAGCCTTTCCGAATTTAAACTTGCAGCATTTGCCTCTTCTTGCCACGTACTAAAACACGTTCTTGGTTTGTTTATTTGAACACATTCCCGTGTCTTATGTTAAGGACTTTTTCCAGGAGGAACTTTAGTCCATTTCTACTCTGAACGGTGCTGCTCACGCCGTCTTTTTTGCCATCACTGATCTATCTTTGGGGAGGTTTGTCAGCTCACTTGAAGGTTTTAAAACATAATTAAGTGTTTCGGGGTCTTTTTTTAGGCCATTGTTATGAGTTTCATGAAGGTTACACTCACACACTCGCGCACACAGAAAAAGAGCTGTGTTGTTTTGTGGCTCCCCTCCACCCGTACAATCACAGCCATACAGCTTATTGTAAAGGACAAAAGTTGTGCTGACTGCTTATTACCCCAGGCTGAGCATGTGGCATGTTTAGAGCTGGTACTTTTGTCCTCCCCCCCTGACACGAAGACACATATGTGAATCAGATGTGATGGGTGTATAATCACTGCCATGACATCACATCCCATTGATAAAACTGATGGTAGACAAGATAGCTGACAGCATGGAACAAAGCTTGTTTGAGCAGTACTTCCCTCAGTGGTTTGTTGACACGTCCATGGTGGCTCTTATTACTTGCATGGCTGCCCTCGATCTCTGCCAGGGCGGATTGGCTTGGTGCTGGTCAGTGAAAGGAGGGACGGCTAAGGGGGGCTGCATGGGTATCTTGGACATGAAAGGATGGATTGATCAGGACTCAGTCTTTGCCTTTCCTCAGCTTCCTCTGTCCATTGTGGCTCAGAGAGTAGGCCTATTGATAGAACTTTCTCGTTTTGCCATAAAGAAGTGCTCAGTAAAGGAAGTGTACAAATCAACTTATCTTTGGTACAGACTTCCACTGCTTGTTGTGACCCAATGCCTTTAGAAGGATTATTCATCAAAGAAGAAGAGCTCTCCCTTTGTCTTTCATGCTGTGACCAAGAATTTAGGTGTATTTAGTGGAATCTGAGTCAGCTGGCCTCAGTTATGGGGTTCTTTTACAGTTGGGATGGACTCATCTGAAACGCTTGAAAACCTTTGTCTCATTTCCATAGTCATATTACTTCTGTTCCATCTTGTGTGATCCTTAAAGACCACCTCTTCCTCCCATCATAGTACTGAGCATATATCCCCCTCTTTCCGTAAACACTAGACTTTCATGTTAGCTTAGGAGGTAGGAGGTGCTTTTGGCTCCTTAATTCAGCCCTGGAGGATATCCGATACGCCAGAGTCTTCTAATCCTCGCTCCCAAGTATTGGAAGGTAAATCTGCTGTCTGTCTGGCACAGGTCAAAAGGGAAAGTGATCACAATTAGTTGGAGTGCCGCTTTAAAGAGTCTGCCTTGGCTAATGTGATGGTTACAGCTGCTGGATGAAATAATGACAAATTAACTGAAAGCATGCGTGGCATTTCTTACACAGCTGCTGAAGTTCTGCAGCAGAATTATGCACGGAAAAGATGCTAACGTGCGCCTCGTCTAGGTGTGCAGCTGTTGTGTGACATTTAGGGACACGGGGGTTGAATATAACCGAACCACACAGAGCCTGCTGGTCATTTGGAAGCGTTTTTTTAAATTAGAGTTCAGTTTTGAGTTCCCATCTTTTTTTCTTACCTTTTTAAAAAAAATAAATTACTAGCTTGAGGTGTCTGAAATGTTTTAAATGCATGGGAGATATTATTACTGTGTCCTTCTACTCCTCTGCTGCCCCATTTTGTCCATACAGTTAGTTCATTGAATCATCCAGCTCCTCTCTGCCTCTCTGTGGGTGGCTTGTCCGGGAGGCCAGCTCTGTGCTGTCCTGACTGGGACCATGTGTTTTCCCTGCCTGGCCAGCCGTGTGGAGACAGGGGACAGGTGGAGTAGCTCGGGAGGGAGGTCGGGAGGAGCAGAGGGCAGCTCTGTTCTTCCTACGCTGAAACAAAGAGCAGAACGGTGGGATTGTGTCGTGCTCGGTCGAATCTGTTCCCCTCTGATGCAGTGCTCTGCAAAAGCTGCGGCGTGGGATGGAAATATTTTCCGCTTTTACAAAGTATCTGTTTGGTTCTGTGAGGTTGCATATGAGGGTGTGACAGAAGGTCTGTGTGTTGGATGGGAGGAAAGCATGGGGCGTCCCAGCTGTATGAACCAGCTGGTGGACAGAGAGACGACCAGTCTTTCCGGAAGGGGCTTCTCCATTCACAAGGAAGAGGCGAGGCGAGGGGGGCTCGCAGCAGACTGAAGGGCAGAGCTGGAATCTGGCGCTCGGTGATCAGGAAACGCGGGACAGATAGACTTCAGATGCTTGAAATGAGATTTTTTGAGCGTGATCGTCAATCTGCGTTGATGAAAATGTGGTGTGAGGGATTTCTCCACCCAGACTGTGTGTTCCCCAAAGAGATGGGAGACCTGACGGGGATCCTAAAATATTCTCCCGCCTGGGACCCAGAGCTGGAGAGTAACTGCAGTCTGCACAGTGCTAGCTCACCCAAATCACCAGCACCAGAGTGCATTATGTAATAAAACAGTATCCAAGGTGACGCTGAGATTACTAATATGGTGTATTTGATTGCCAGTGATGTAATGCGTGGAAAAGCTCCCTTTCAAATCGCAAATGTTCCTAAATCTCCATGTGTACTTGTTATATGATTACAAGAATTTTGGATGTAAATCTCATTACACACACACACATCTCTTTGCAGCTACAGAAACTCTGAGCATTTTCATCCAGACAAAAATGAAAATAACTGTGAATTTGCTTTCCCCCCCCCCCCACCCCCCAACGCTTTCTGTGACAGGTACAATGGCTCTCTGCCCAATGGAGATCGGGGTAGACGGAAAAGCAGATTTGCTCTATACAAGAGGACCAAAGCCAATGGTGTTAAGCCGAGCACTGTGCACATCCTCAACACACCGCAGGATTGCAAGGTACACAACAAAGACTGAACGAGATACTTAATGAACAGACCCTGAGTGAGAACGGAGCCCTGTCAGCTTTTGTCTTTTGATGTGTAATTTGGACACAAATCGCAGAAGTCAGCGCACGCCGGCGTCTGAGCGTGTGACGGGGATTCGGATTGGTTTACTTTACAGTAAACGGAACAAAAGTGGGGCTCCGAGGCCGGGCTGCAGAGTGGCCTCTGGGTGATCTCGGTAGCTCGCTGGAAGAGCCGCTGAGCGTTTAGGGTTTTTGTTGGCAGGCCTCCGTGTTGATATTTCCAGTTCAATAACTGTAGTTCCTGGCTGAGGCTGGGAGCTTCTCTTTGCAGCGGAGACGCCACATCCAGCAGAACATGTTTGGCCTCTCCACTTCCTCCCTTTGATTCCCAAGCAGCACGGCTAAACTCTTACCTCTGCACCCTTGGTGGCTATTATTTCAGGTGCTTCTTACCGGTTAAGCTCCTTTGAAATGCGGTTCAGGTTACCGTCACGCTGCGGACGGGGACTCCCGATAGCTGCTCAGGCGTCCTATTGTGAGCTCTTTTAATGCCTAGGGTTGTGCGTCGTTTCAGCACAGTGGACGCGGACTCGTCAGACTGGTCAGCGGCTGTTTTTGTAAGGGGAAATGCTGTCTCCGTGCCTCTTCCCCTTTTACCGCTGTTCCTCTTGCCACCCTGTTACCAGGCCTGGGAATCGGGGGGGTAAATTGAGAATGAAGTCGGCGCAGATGGCCCAACACTCCAGTCCCCGGCTGTAAACACGGGCAGAAATACCTATCGCTTAGAGACCCGCAGGGGGGCGGGTGCAATTGGCTTTATCAAACACCAAAGTTAAAGGGAAGAAGCCAACGCTTCTTTCCTCTGGGTGCAGCCCACGAACGAACGGAGAGGGAAGCTCACGTGTCTGTGCACACTCTGCCAGTCATGCCAGCTCTCTGTTCACACCCCATTGTGCTTTAACTCCTTCTATTCGATTGGGTGTGAGAAGGTGTGGGGGGGGGGTGTTAATTTAGTTATGTTTCCCTCTGCCGGAGTGTGCGTGAGCTTCTTTTAGCCGTCGGAAAGCAGGTGGAGCAGGATTGGTTTTGCAGCCGAGCGGGACCGCATGTGATGATGACACTTGTCCCCGTCTGGGTCTGATGTTACAGCAGAGCGCAGCAGCTCCCATGACCCACTTTCACCCCCCTCCCCTTCCCCGCCTGCACGTGACAAAGAAGAGGGATGTTTGGGAAATGGAATTTGCTGATAAGAGCCAGATGATAGTGGCGTGTGCTTGATTGTGGATGCGAGCCCGGCCAGTCCAGCGGGTGAGCCCACCGGCTGACCAGGGGGCACGCCACAGTCACTGTCATGGGAATGTGAGCGAGCTTTCTGTTCCTCTTCCAGAGCTCAGGCCACCGTCTGTGTTAAGTTAACTCGATCTGAGAAATTGCACAAGTCAGAGGCCTTTTGTTTTCTTTTTTTTTTCAACTTACTTTTTGCAGTGACAGCCAATTCCAGGTTTTCCTTCAACAGCTGCCAACGTTGCTGTTGAATCTCAGGAAATGAGTAACTTATTAAGAGCCTTGAGTTTTATTGGTGGGGTTGTTTTTTCATTGTCCTGCAGTGACTGTGCGTGTTTTTGTCTAGTTCCTGTTAGTGAGTCTTTGCTGTTTTGCTGTTGTGTTCTCGCGCTTTAACACCTTTAAGAATATCCACTAAATTCGACAAACCAATTGTCGTGTTTCAGGCTGTGAACTGCAAAGGCCAACACAGCATCTCCTACACGCTGTCCAGGAACCAGACGGTGGTGGTGGAGTACAGCCATGACAAAGACACAGACATGTTTCAGGTAAACGCAGCTTCTGCAACCCCAGACTCTTTTCACCCGTGTCTTATTTGCGCGTTTGGGGGTCAGCCCCCAAAAACCTTTAGTGACCCTCCGAACCTCCAAGGGGTTCCTGGTTCCTGCCGGCCGGCCCGTAGCATTCTTTTGCACGCACAGCCGGGACGTGTCGACAACAGGGGCACGTGCCTCACAGTCACACACACACTGGGCCCATGTGGTGTTTAGCAACAGTGGAAACAAAGGCACAGCAGAGAGGGAAGAGCAGTCCGAATAAAAGAACTGCGTGACAATTTCAGTTGAGAAAAAAGGGGAGGAAATGAAAGGGGATATGTGTTATTTTTGGGGCCAATTTTCTGCTTGACAAGTGTTTTCCTAAGCATGGGTCCCCAGTACTGCTTAAACCCCAGCTCTCACATTTGGTATACATGCTCTCCGATTACCAAACCAGTTGTGAGACGGTGTGTAATCTAACTGCAGGGGTTTGTAAACCTGTCTAAGAATCTGATTTGATGAGATGCAGCCGAAGTTAAGCGGGAGGCGACTAAGAGTGAAAATAAGGTGAGGCGAAGTTTGAATTCCTTTTGGAAGTCGTGTTCCCCGCAGAAACTGTAAAAATAACTTTGCTATCAGCTCTCCCCTGCGTGGGTAAATGACACCTCTGCTGGGGCACAATCAGCAGAAAAGAGCACGGGCTGGTTTTAGCCTATCGCATTCTGCCTCATGATGACATTTCATTTTCAGGGCAGGCTTTGCTTATTTCAGCAGAAAAAGGGCCAAAACCGCAATCTAAATGTAGCCCGGGTGCTACAATTGGCCTGAGTGCAGTCTAGACCTGTCGCCCACATGAAAGCCAGCAAGAATTATGAAAAGTATTTCAAGACAAAGGACCAAATTGATCAGTTTGACTATTTGAACTATTCTGTTTGGTGTTCTGTTCAAACATGACTTTAGATCATTTGAAATTGGTGGTGATGTTACCTTAACCTCTCACAACGTAGTCAAATTATCTGCTGGATTTGATGGAAACTTCCCCACGTCGTGTATCTTGTACAGTGTTGGGTAATTACTGTTTTTCTTTTTTGGTCAGATCGGACGTTCCACCGAGAGTCCCATAGATTTTGTGGTGACCGACACAGTAGCGGGAGGCCAGGAGGGAGAGGACACCCCCATCACCCAGAGCACCATCTCTCGATTCGCCTGCCGAGTTGTCTGCGAGCGCCACCCGCCCTTCACGGCTCGCATCTATGCAGCCGGGTTCGACTCGTCCAAAAACATCTTCCTCGGGGTAATTACTACCCAGTGGTTCCGCAGCATCTCTGCTCAGGCTGCCTTTTGAGATTCGATACCGCGGATCTAGTGTGTGTGCTTGCAGTCATGTTTTGGCGTGTGTTGGCCGCAGGAGAAAGCAGCAAAGTGGAAAAACCCCGACGGTCACATGGACGGCCTCACAACCAACGGGGTGCTGGTGATGCACCCTAAGGGCGGGTTCACCGAGGAGTCCAAGCCCGGCGTCTGGAGGGAGATATCGGTTTGTGGCGATGTGTACACGCTGAGGGAGACCCGCTCGGCGCAGACCCCCGGAAAGCTGGTGCGTAGCTTCACCCGTGTAGCCCGAAACGCAACAAAACCAGATCCGAGTCGAGCCCCGGACCGACGGCCGATAACCGCTGTGTGTGTCCCCCCTCCCTCACAGGTGGAGAACGAGAGCAACATCCTGCAGGACGGCTCCCTGGTGGATCTGTGCGGGGCCACCCTGCTGTGGCGCACGGCGGAGGGCCTCTTCCACACGCCCACCCAGAAGCACCTGGAGGCCCTGCGGCAGGAGATCAACGCGGCGCGGCCCCAGTGCCCCGTGGGCCTCAACACCCTGGCCTTCCCCAGCATGCAGCGCAGCCGCGCCCTCTCCTCGCTGGAGGACAAGCAGCCCTGGGTGTACCTGGCGTGCGGCCACGTGCACGGTTACCACAACTGGGGCCACCGCTCGGAGCAGGAGCCCAACGCCCAGCGGGAGTGTCCCATGTGCCGCATGGTGGGGCCCTACGTGCCCCTCTGGCTGGGCTGCGAGCCCGCCTTCTACGTGGACACGGGCGCGCCCACGCACGCCTTCGTGCCGTGCGGCCACGTGTGCTCGGAGAAGTCGGTCAAGTACTGGGCGGAGATCCCCCTGCCGCACGGCACCCACGCTTTCCACGCCGCCTGCCCCTTCTGCGCCACGCAGCTGGGCCTCACGCAGGGCTGCGCCAAGCTGATCTTCCAGGGCCCGGTGGACTGAGCCGGGG